GGGGCAATATGCTGACTCTGGAAACCACTTAAGAGAGGGCTGTAAAGCACTGTGAAGTGGTATATAAGTCTAAATGTGATTGCTATTGCCTATCCTTTCCTTCCTTCCCTTGATCTTTGATTTAAATTAAATGCTTGGAATATTTAGTTATATATAAGCCCTGTCAACACGGTTAGCTGGTTGTGCCTAGCTGACCTTGGCCGATCTCAAAAAGCTAAGCAGAGTGAAACCAAGTAGTAGTTGAGTGGGAGATCTTCATGAACTTCTAGGGCTGCAGAGAAGATTGAGAGGATCTTGGCCACAGCTAGGAAGAAGGCAGTGGTACTCAACCATGAAGTCACAAGAAGCCACCCTTGACTCAAAGGAAAATTTATATATAGCATAAGTCCTGTTGTTTCTCCATACTTGCATCTCCTTCTGTTTCCTCTGTCATCCACCACACAGAAGCATATTCCATTGAAACATATCTCAGTAAAAGGATGGTTTTATAGAATAAAGAAACGTGGCACAGAGGAACCCAGAAAGGAGAACTGAATACTTTCAATGGAGGTACTCCTTGACTTACAACCATTGTTCAAAGTTACAATGGCATTGAAAACGTGACTTACTATTCCTCACTCTTAACAACCGTTGTAGCATCCCCATGGTCGTATGATCAAAATTTGAGTGCTTGGCTACCAGCATGTATTTACAATGCTTGCAGCATCCCAGAGTCATGTGATTGCGATCTGGCTTCCAATAAGCAAAGCCAGTGAGAGAAGTCAAATCCACTTAACAACTACATGATTCACTTAACAACTGCAGTGATTCGTTGAACCGTGACAAAATATGTGGGCAAAATCGGGTGTGATTTGCTTAGCAACAGAAATTCTGATCCCAATTGTAGCCATAAGTCAAAGATTACCTGTAGTCAAAGCCTCCTTATCGATTTCACTGATTTTCGGCCCCACTATGACAAATGTTGCATATCTTAAAATTGGTGTGATACAATTATATAGCTGAAAGGGACCATACAACTCCCTGTCCATCTGGTATTACTTCCATTCAGCGCAAGACCTGTTAGATCTTTGGCAAATAACTGTCCAGACTCTGTTTGAGAAGTCTTAGTGAAGTAGAACTCACATACCACGTGGCAACTGGTTGACAGTTAATACAGTCAGGATGTTCCTTCTGCTGTTTAGTCTGAACCTCCATCTTAGTAGTTTTATCCCATTGGTTTCGGTCTTGCCCTCTGGGCAATAGAATGTAAATGGTCAAATGGCACTCTGGTGAAATCCAGATGTACTATGTCTATAGCATTCCCCCGATCTACTCTAAATAACTCTTATCAAAGAAAGAGAGAGCATTAGTTTGGCACAATTTGTCTGCAGCTAGTCCGTGCTGACTCCTGTGAATAACAATATGCTTATTCTAGTGTTTATAAACATGCTGCTTGGTCATCTTTTCAAACACTTCTCCTGGCACAATAGACTATAGTCAATGGTGGGATTCAGCTGGTTCGCACCACTTCGGCAGAACCGGTAGCTAATATTTTATTGCCCAGGACCAGAATGGACTTCTGAAAGCGGCATCTATTCTACACAGAGAACTGGTTGTTCACATATTTGAATCCCACCACTGACTATAGTATAGACCTGTCTTTTCTGGGTCTTTCTTCTTCCCCTTTTTTGAAGATAAGAGTAAGGTTAGCTCACCACCAGTCTTCCATCAATTTTCCAAGAGTCAAACTTTATCAAGAAGATTTCTGTAATCCCTTCAATATGTAATCCATCAGGCACCAGAGACTGTATTAATTTAAATTAGCTAAATTCCCTCTTATCCTCTCATTGTCTGCCCTAAACTCCAGACCCTCTTTCTGTCATTAGCTCAACCATCGGGATCCAGAGCTTCATTTCCCTTTCCTGAAACCACAGATGCACAATAGAAGTTAAGAATTATTGTTTTCTAATAATTACCAATTACAGGCAGTCCTTAACTTACAACCACCACTGAGCCCAGCATTTCTGCTGCTAAGCGAAACATTTGTTAAGTGAACTTTGCCCCATTTTACGACCTATCTTGCCACAGTTTTTAAGTGAATCATAGCAGTTGTTAAATTAGTAACACAGTTGTTAAGTGAATCTGGCTTCCCCATTGACTTTGCTTGTCAGAAGGGATCACGTGACCCCTGGACACTGCAACGATCATAAATATAAGTCGGTTGCCAAGAATCTGAATTTTGATCACATAACCCTGATGATCATGTGAAAAATGGTCATAACTCACTTTTTCCAGTGCCGTTGTAACTTTGAACATACTAAATGAACTGTTGTACAGTCACTAAATGAACTGTTGTAAGTCAAGGACAGTTTCACCACAGTTTCCTTGGTATAGAGTAGACTTATACTCTCTTTGGCTTTCATTTTATTCTGAACATACCTCCAAAACATATTTTCCCCTTATTTTTATATCTCTTACAAGCCTCAGCTCTTTCTGAATGTTAGCCTTTAGAGAAAGTTCTTACGTTTCTGGAGACCACTTTATGTTCTTCTTTGGTTATATTCTGTTCCTTTCATTTCCTAAGCGTACCATTTTTTTTCCTTCATGTTTTTGATTATGTGCCATCAGGTTGTTTTCAACTCCTAGCAACCACAGAGATGCATTCCTCCCCCCCTCCTAATCTGTTTTTTCAAGTCTCTCAATGGTGGGTACACTCATTGCCATTGTAACTGACTCCATCCATCCATCTTGCTGCTGGTCTTTCTCTTCTTCTCTTTCCTTCCACCTTTCCCTGCATTAGAATATATTATCCATTGTTTTGTATTTTCTATTCATCTGATGGTAAAAAACATAGTAGTGGTTTACTATTGCCTTCTTCAGCATAGTATGATTAGATAACTTTGCCATTGTAAGTGCAGTAAATGTCCGCCTTTGACATTTTCCTATATCGCTGTTGCCCTATAAAGGTTCCTGCTTATTTTATCTAGGCAGTTGGGATGAGCTTGGGTGCCCTGGGTGATCCTGATGAGAATATATACTTTTGGCATACACTTCTGTCATTCTTTGTTCATTCCCCCCTCCCCCCAAGAACACTCCCACCACCAGTACAGTAGGACCTGAGGATGAGGTCTTCAAAATGTTAGAGGATCCTTAATATATCTACCCTGGCTTCAATATTTCTTCATTTTCTCTTCTTGTGAGAATTATTTATTTATTTATGAGACTTATATACCGCTTTAAGTGCAAGCACTCTCTAAGCGGTGTACACCAGTAAGCAATATATATATATATATATTTACATTGCCCCCAACAATCTGGGTCCTCATTTTACCTACCCCGGAAGGATGGAAGGCTGAGTCAACCTTGAGCCGGTGAGATTTGAACCGCTGACCTGCTGAACACAGTCAGCTAAAGTGGCCTGCAGTACTGTACTCTAACTGCTGCGCCATGGATATTGTTTTCAATATCCAATTTTGTAGGATTTCCCAACCTTCCTCGATACCTTTCTCCTTTGGGATTTGAAGCCATTATTTTCAATCTACCTTTCCTAAGAGTTCATCAAAATTAGATCTTCTGAAGTCAGATGTACAGGGCTCAATTGTTTTCAATTCCTCTACCTCTGGATATCATGACCTCTTTACAAACTCCTACAGTGGCACTATTTTTGTGTTTCTTTCAACAGGATTTCCATGCTCTGGTTCTTCTATTTTTGTGCAAGAATATTTTTCTCACTACATACAATACCCCCATACCGAGGATTCCCAGGATCTGGAAACTATAGCTTTCCAGAGTTGTGGACCAATCATGAGTGATATCTCACACTTGTGACACCTATCATGTTTCTCAATTAGATTAGGAAATCTAGTTCTCCTTGTTTAGTGTTGGCTTGAATATTACATTCATACAAACATAATAACAACCTATGCCAAATTTAGGCTGTTTCATGCACGGGACAACCTGAGGCTCATCCTGATTGTATTAGCTTTATGGTAGCAGTAGCGCAACACTTTTTATTTTTACTCTTGTACTTCTGGGAGAAAGCTGAGTTTTGTCTACCTCTGTTTCAAATCTCTTTATAATCTATGGTGAGTTTGTGTCCATTGTATGGTCACTTTTCAAGTTGGTGTACGGGTTCACATATGGCTCCTTGGCTGCAACAACCCATCACCAGATGAGACCTAACCGTTATTATATTTGACTCAGTCCTTTTGCAAACTCTATGGTGGCCCAGCCCTGTCGGTACCCATTCAGTAGCCTTGGGTCTTCCAAAGATTAACTAAGTGTAGACTCCTTTCCTGTTTGATAGTAGCAGCCACCTGTGAGGTAGAAATTCAGTAGCCAATACATGCTACTGAATGCGTATGTAGAGCTGCCAAATCGGGCCTGTAAAAATCAGGAATACCATTAGATGGCAGTCCAGGGTTGGAATGTTAGGGTTTTTTGTAGGGTGATATGGAATTTGTAGTCTTTACTTAAGGACTTGGAGTGAAAGAAGTACTGGACTCCTAATACACTTGTTGGGTATTGTGGGCTACATGTGTGAATAAAGTTAAGCTGATTCATGTTTCCCCACGTCTGTTTTCATGCCTTCTTGTGTTTCTCAGATATTTAAGAGACTAAACTAGTATCCTAGGGAAAGAGCAGGAACAAATGTCTCTTCTTGTTCACCAGCTATTTCCCCTTAGCTGTAACAGAGAGAGGGAGGGTTAATCATTTGATTGACCCAGTGGCTTAAACTTGCCCACTCTTTCATACCATCCACTCAAAAGAAGCCAAAGAGCATAAAAAGGAACAGGAAGCTGCTGCTAACTTCTTGGCATCTTTTGGAATAGCTAAGCCCAGATAGTGCATTCCAGTGGGAGTGATTAGGTCAGTGGTGGCGAACCTATGGGACGGGTGTGGGCACATGTGCCATTGCCCCAGCCTCGCCTCCCCCCATGACCCACCAGCAGCCCCCCTGGAGGAGAGTCGCCCCAGAGCGTGGCCACACAGAGCAGCACAGCCAAGGACATGGCAGCCAGGCAGCATAGAGAAGACTCTGCCCTCACGCCCCATCCCGCACAGTTGATGCTGCGGGGCGTGGGCAGAGGGTGTGGCCGCCATGGCGCTGCTGGGCAATCTGCGGCAGGCCCTGAAGGCAGGGTGGGAGTGGCCTTGTGAGCAGGCGGGGTGGGAGACAGGGTAGGGGCGGGGCAGGGGTGGGGCCAGTTTTTGGGCACTCGGTCTCTAAAAGGTTCGCCATCACTGGATTAGGTTATCTGATCTGGGCATCATTGCTGTGCAGGACTTCCTCCCAAAAGAAGAAGTTGGTTGAAGGTGTGAAGGTTGTAGCTGCCTCTCCCTCTCCCTGCATCTATTTCTTTGGAAGCAGTGCCTAGGTGAGAAAGGGGAGGAAGCTGCACTGCTCTTTTGCTCTCTTCTTGCTTTGGCTGGGAAGGAGGCTGTGGGGGGGAGGGCTGGAAAATCCATCACTCTGCACTGGACCAGGCAATCATTAGCTCTGCAGGGTTTTTTTGTGGAGCACCCCCTCTTCCTCGCAGGAAAAAGGAAAGAGAATGCCAGATGTACAGGTGCCATTGTTTCTCCCTTAGGAAAGGAGTGCAGCGCAAAATGCGATTCTGTGCGGGGGGGGGAGAAGGGATGGCACGCGTGAAGAGGCCGCTCATATTAGGAAGAAACATAGTTAACGCTGGGTAACTGTCCGAGTAACCGCCACGCATCCAGGTTCAAATTAACCCTTATTGAATGAGCCACTCTTAAGGAGAGAAAAGTGTCAAGAAGACCTGGGCGTTTGTAAATGGAGAGTGCTTCGAGAGACCCTGGCTTGTGGAAAAGCCCAGGCGAAAGTGTCTCCAGGAAAAGAAGGGGGTGGTCCCATCAAAGGGGGGGGGAGTTCGCCCCCCCCGGGTGCAGCTTGAGAGCCGCCTTAGGTTTTAGTGCTTCTCCGGTTCCCCCGCCTGGCCTAGATTCCCCAGCTGCAGTTGGCGCGTTTGCTCGCCGGCTCTGGTTCCGCCATAACCCGAATAGCTCCGCCGCGGGTTGGTGTCCTCCTGGGACGCGGGGCTTTGCTGCTGATCTCCTGCCTCTTCTTTTCTGACGCAGAAAGACGATGGCGCCCACCTCCCGGCCGAGAATCCCTCCGTTTGCCGGTTATCTTTCTGGCCCAACCGGAGCTTCGGCGCCTTCCCCACAGGGCGAAGTTGGCGGACGTGGACCGAAGAAAGCGCCGCTGCCTAGGTAAAGCGGCTCGGGTTGTGCCTCTGGCATTTGGCCACGCTTCGGATCGACCCAGCGAGACCCCTTTGCGCGCAGATTCAGCCGGAACCCTGGCCTGAACTTCAGGGTTGCCCTGAAGGGACTTGTTGAGTTACCTGCAAACTTTGGTCGCGCTGCTGAGGATCCTAAAGTTTCGCCCCTCGGAGCACGCGCAGAGCGCGTCTTCAGCTTCCCCGAGAAACTGCTCGTCCCTGCACGCACAATGAATGGCTCCGGTTATGTAAACACAAGAGCAAACGGGTTCGACTAAACTGATGCGTTGCGAAGCCCAGCCGAGACAGTTTCTCCCAGGATTTCTCCCTATGGCTTGGGGCTTTAAGTGTAGCTGTAGCCCACGGCCCAGGACTAGAGGTCTTCCGCTGCCAAGACCCGGGGCCTGAAACTTACTGACTTAGAAGAAACCCACCAAGACTCGCGTAGTCTCGCTGCCTTCTAAGCCAAGGGGAGGGGGGACACTGAAAAAAGTGCTTTTCTCTCCAGGGGTAACTGTAAAGTCGTAGGTGAGATTGCTTGAGCTGATCGACCCCCCCCCCCCAAACAAACATCTCGGATAGGAAAAGAAGCAAGTTCCTTTTCGGCACTTGGCCGCGGGCCGGAAGTCCCAGGTAGTGGTTGGAATGAGTTGCAGGACAGTGGTCTGGGGTCGCTGATCACCTCGCAGTGAAACTCCCGCTGGAGTTTCACAACCGCGAGTCTAATCAAACTGGAGCGAGCTCCTAGTGACTCCAAATCTCCGCCGTCTTCCTGGACCGCTCAAACTCCGCTCCCCTGAAGGAATCATAGGCTGATGAGCTGCCTTCGACAGAGACGTCCAGCCGCTGTGCCAGTCACCTTGACCCATCGTCTTCGGTTTTTCTGGAGAAAAAAAAAAAGAGAGAGAGAGAGAGGCTGCTATGTCTGCTGGAGGGCGCCGAGGAGCCCCCCCTCCCGGCGATGTTCGGCGACTGCCCGTCACTCAACTGGGCCGGGGTGCCTTTTTCGGCTACAGCTAAGGCTCCGCAGATGTCCGGGATACTTGGGAGTCGGGCGTCAGAGTCCAGGAAACGAAGCAAAAGAATCGTACCGATCACCAAATTAAATTGATGCGTGCTAAACTCAATCTCTAAGCAAATTCTGGGTTCGCAGGGAATGAATTTATTGACTGAAGTAGCACCAGTGAAAAAATTAAGATGGAATTCGGCATTTTACTGTGGTGAATACCGTAAAAATCAGCAAGATATTCCCCACCACCACCACTCCAGAATCATGGATCTTTAGCTTTCCAAATTTCTCCGTTCAGGGATAAATTAAACAGAAGGGGAAAACGGCTAGAATTTAATTTTAGAACAATAAGGGTAAAGATTAATACGTCGCAGGCATATTTTGTACATACACCGGGTGGTTTGGAGTAATACAAGACAAAACGTTCACTGGGAAGTACTACTGATTAGTTACATCTATAACCAATTTCTAGTATTCAAACGTAACAGCATTTACCCACATTCCCTCTTTTGAAGACATTCTTTGAACAGGAAAGAAGTTGTTCGGCTGAAGTCTGAATTATCTGAGCTTGAAAGGTGTTAAGATCTAGAGGCTTTCTCTGAAGCGTACTAGCCAGGCGGGAGGATTAAGCAGCTTTCTGGATTAAAGCATTTTCTGGATCCCCACAATAAACTGAATAATAAAGTACCCAAGTAGTTAAAAACAACATTCTAACCTCTTACCCATCTAAAAGATAACCATCTATTATGTTTTGGCATATCGTCAGAATAGATCTACTAGGACTTTAACTGACCTAGTTAAAGTGTGAGCAGAGTTTATGCAAATGCCTTCCTGACACAGGAGTCTGACTTACTTGGGGCGGGGGTGCGGCTGAAGAAATATTCTGCGTCGGGAACTTCGCCCCTAAATATCAAGGGCCCATAACTAATCTTGTGTTTTGAGTACAGCCGGTACATAACTTCTATCTATTTATCCACCAGTCTACCGTACATTGTTTTATATTATAATAAAGGCAGAAAACATCAGCAGATTTTATAGTACAGAACTGCGCGGGTCGGCTGGCTTCGAGAAGTCCGGCTGGGTCCTGCATGAAAGAAAAAAAGGGCGGGGGATCAATTTATTGGAAAGAGTTAATATTCACGGGGGGGGGGGAGAGAAAACTCCGCCAGGAGACTGAAATAGCTTCGCGTTTTAATTTCCAACCGGGAAAAAAAAAAAATCTATCGAAGCGCTTTCTTCCGTCAAAAAAGCAACAGCATTGAGAGCCCCAGACTTTTCTTTGCCAATGCCCCGCTCCGATCGGGTTTGGTTCGGCGAAGGGGTAGCCGAACCAGGGCTGTCAGGAAGTAGGGAATACTTTGTCCCGACTGAGAAGAAGCGCCGCTTTCCTCCCGCGTCAGCCAGCCAGCCAGCCAGCCAGCCCGAACGAAGGCGAGTCGCAGAACGCGTCTTTCCCTGGATTCGCTTCTGAAGTTGTTGGGAGGCAGGGAAGGAAGGGGCGGGCGAGCTGCCTCCTGCCCACCTCCGAGAGCCTTGAGGTGGTACCTGTCCCGCCTAAGACCGCCTGGGCACGGGTGATACCAACCGCCAGGAAAGGAGGGAGGAACAGCGGGCCAAATCCCAGTTATGTACTCCACGTCAAACTAGGATCTAAGGCAGTGTTTCTCAACCTTGACAATTTTAAGGCATGTGGACTTCAACTCCCAGAATTCCACAGCCAGCATTGCTGGCTGTGGAATTCTGGGAGTTGAAGTCCACGTGCCTTAAAATTGTCAAGGTTGAGAAACACTGATCTAAGGGTTCTCGGTCTCTCTCTCTCTCACACACACACACAACTTTTAAGTGCCAATTCTAAACCTCCCTTTCTAAGCGCCAGCCTCTCTCTCTCTCTCTCTCACACACACACACACACACGTTTTAAGTGCCAGTTTTAAGCCTCCCTTTCTACTAAGGAAAAGGCGCGGAAATACATATACACAACGTGTGTCTGTTTCCGCACCCTTTGCTTGGTAGAAAGGGAGACTTAATACCGGCACTTAAAACTTTCCGGCTAGGTTCCCAGGCTCTTTGGATTGGCGAAGCCGCCTGCTTCATCTCTGGGTAGGCCGGGAATGTTCTTCCTCGGAATCTGGGCTGTAGCTGGCGTTCAGACGACGCTCCGCTCCGGATATTCTAGTGAAAGGAGGTCGTGGAAACCAACAGAGCTCAACAGGGTTCACGGAGGTTTAATAGGGAGACCCCCCAAATCCGTTTGCCTGGACAAATTTCCTTCCAGGCAACGAGGGGAGGGGGGGGGGCAGGTGAGATGTCTGTGCAGACAAAGCCCAAATGCAGGAGGGAAGGAAAACGGCCACTACAGAATCTGCAAGAGCCGGGAAGTCAGCGGGCCGGAGCTCCCATCTAAAGCCAAGTGAAGAATCCGATGCCCCTCCTGTTTCTCTCATTCACGCGGGAATTTGGGGTCTGAGGAAGGCGGGGGTGGGGGTGGATTCAAACCGGCCTGGCCAGCCTCTCAGCTAAGTCAGTCCAAAGCAGAAGCCCCCAGCCCCGTTTCCTTGGCAGCGGGTAGAAGTTTTGAATGGCTCCATTATTGTTCCTCTCTTCCACCTTCTGAGGGGGCATCTTCAAACCACCCACAATGAGCTGAGCCCGCCGAGCCACCTCTCGCTCTCGCGAAAAAAGTATAGAAACTTGCTTCCTGCTCCCGCGCCTGCTCCGTGGCTTTCCTCGGCGCTCCTGTCTCAGACTCAGGCCCGCCCCCGCTTACACTCAAGAGCTGACCCTGCCGCCCAAGTGGCCTGTCTGGGTCGGCGGCTCCCTCGCACTTCGCTCCCGAAAACAGTGGGAGACGTCCCGGGTGGCTCGCGCGCCGCCTCCAGACTCACCCTTTCCCTGGTGGGCTTCGCAACCGCTCCCTCCTCCGCCCAGGACTCCCCTGGATCTCTGGAGAGGCGGCGGGCGGCGAGCGAGCGGCCTCTTTCCCGCCGCCCTGCCAGGCAGAACCAGGAGCGGGCGGTAGCGCTGCTCTTTCTGAACTTGGGCGAGCGAAAGGGGGCTGGGAGTCAGGCTGAGGCGGCTCCCGAGCAGTGCCTCTCTCGCCTGTTACGGTAGATGGTCTGCGCTAAATGCTTTCCCGGGGGCTCTGAAAGCGTTGGGGGGGCCCCCGGCTGCTGACAGTGGCTGACTCAACATCCGGGTTTTTTCGTTTTGAGGGTGAGAGGAACCCCGCTCCGCCTGGGCTGCGGAGGTCTAGTTCTTCCAAGCTGCTTCCTCGTAGCCCCAGAATTCTGGGTCTTATTAAAAAGGAGAGCTTCAGAGAAGCATTCCTCCTCTTCCATTGCTGGTCAGCTCCAGCACAGGGGCCCTTAATTTCAGTGAGCCTTTAGTGGACGTGAAGACTAGACTCTGGGTATATTTACCTGGGAGTAAAGGCCACCAGTTGCCATGGGAGAAAGCTTACAAAAACGTATGGTCATGTTAGGAAAAAAAGAAATCTTAGTTGATTTGTTGAGCTTGGAAATGAATTGGCCAGGATGAGATTCGTTGGCTTTGCAATTACTGGATAAAGAAGTTGGGTTTTCCCCAAAGCTGAGTCTTTCCCTCTTATTAGCAAATGAAATAGCACTGAACAGTTGAAAGATCAAGGGCAGTGTTGGCTTGGATCTGTCTTCAGGAAAGTATTTTCTAGCCCAGGCAGTAGATAGAAGTTGAAAGCTGTGGCCTTGGCAAATTGAAAGAATCATCAGACTAGGATTTAGAATCTAGATATGGTAGAAGAGAAAAAGGTGCTACTTGTTCCTCTCTTATTTCAATTGATCCTGTTGCTGTGTCTCTTTGAAATCCTACTTGGAAGTAGAGATTCCTGATGGGAAAGTTTCTTAAAGTCAAAAGTATCTTATTCTCTGCAGGCTTGTGAAACTCCCCAATCGGCTAAATCCCTTCTTATTGAACCTGACACCTTACAAAACCTCCCCCATCAAAATCTCTCCTTTTGGGACTCTGGTCCACCCACAGAATAAAGTAAGATCTTCATTCTAACACAGGGGTCCCCAACCCATCCGCACCCTCCGGTCCACAGAAAAACCTCTTTTCATGGAACCGGTCCCTGGTGCCCAAAAGGTTGGGGACCTCTGTTCTAATCCATGCCTTGTTGCAATGTTTGTTGGATGTTCCTCTAGTCTAGATTCCTTTGGGGTGGGATTGGGTTCCCTGCTTGAGTCACACATTCATGGGGTGGGAGATTTCTGCTTTTCCATTGTTTAGCCTCACCAATGGGTTAGAATTGGTTTGGCCAGACAATAGGAAAGAATGGAGGGCACACTGCAGCCAAATCAAGATGGCCTGCCCATCACCTATCAATAGTACAATAGCATCACTTAGAGAATTCATCTCCCATCCAGTGATTTAACCTCTCCTTAGCTGCTATGCTTTCTCCTTCCCCTTATTTCTTTCTTTTTTCCCTATACAGGCCTCTGTTCTGCTACAGTTCTGATGAAACATATCTGGCAATTGAAAGCCAAGTTCTGGGAGATTAATCAAATAACAAAACTAAACTAAAAATACCAGAAACAAAAACCTAGCAGTCTCAGCTCTTGTTTGTATTTCATTAGTATATCAGGATGAGAACTTGGAGGCTTTACCTATTTTTGGAAAATATTTTAAGAAACTGAATGGTTACATTTTAGAGTTTCATAAAACTAAATGTATACATTTACAATTTGCAGGAAGATTTCACACAAACAAGAAAGAAGGCAAGTCTTATTTTAACTATCCTTGCTCCCTGTATAGCATTATTTGGAAAGTACAATGAGCAGAAGACACAAATACATGAGAGACTTCAAAATAACTGCAGGAAACCAATTCCCTTTCTCCTTCCTTGTAATGGAAGCTACTCTAGTCTATAATGGAACCTAGTCTAGATTAAATAAAATTAGGCTCCTTATATGAAGCTGGTTTTTTCTTAGGGAGCCATATCTGCCAACAGGCCATGCCAGTTTAAAGACATTGGAACAACAGAATTTGTTGGTTTGTGACAAAGTTATGCTTTTAGCATCTCTTTAGACAGAGAGGATAGGAAGAACAAAACAGCAAAAGTGATCAGGGTAGTGATTTATTGCCATAATTCTGGAAATTTGCAAGTAATTGCCATGGATTTCTAACTATGCAATAGACCTATGCATCCATTGTCTCCCCAATATACTGTAAGGCTGAAATTATTCAACACATTTGTGATTAATAGGAGTACTTTTTTTTTCTATGGAATATTGTGGACATTTTTCAGTTCTGGTATTCTTTCACTTAGAGTTCTTTAAATTCCAAGCATACATATCCAACTCTAGTTGATGGATATTGGAGCCTATCCCAGTTGTCCAGAAATTACAGCCTGCCTCATGAGGAAAAAGAGAAAGTGATGGGGTTCAGGATAAGCAGTTATTAAGAAAACACCAAGATCTGAAGTATGCATATTCAATAATTTGTCATATTTGCTGTTAAAATGTGCTTTATGTTGAGCCCTCTTGTCCCACCTGTATCTGTTCCGATACACTGGCATATTTCAAAAATTGAATGCAACTCTTGTCAGGCTGTAAAAGAAAAAAATTCAGAAAATATTTAACATTGGCCTACAGTATTGTACCTAATGTCCAAGCCTAGAAAATCATGAAGGCCTTTTCCTCTGTGAAAACTCTAATAATGATCTTCCTTGGAGGGCAGACCAGGAGGACAATATCTTCTTCATTCACAAGCTGGAGATATTTGGTTTTCTAAGAACAAGAGAGAAATACTGATTTGGAAGCTGTGTTTTGCTTCCACAATTTGGTGGGATACTGGACAACTAAAATTAGTCTAGATCAAGAAACTGATTCTTGTTCCTTAACCATAGCATACGTAGGTCTACAAGTTGTTCTTTCTTGGCATTCACTTTTCCCTAAATGGGTGGCCAACCTGGAGTTAATGATCTCCACCATTAATGAAAATCTTGTTGCAGAAAGTAATACTTCATTAAGTTTAATACAGTACCTTGATTATTTGGCTGACTGTAAATATATAATTTTGAACTGGGCTATTTGTTAAGAAAATGAATATAAATTGGTGATTGCATTGCACAGTTTCAATGCAGTGCTTATTTATATTTCCATTGATTTTTTTGCTCCATTCTACATTTTAATAGTTTCTACTCTAATAGCAATTATTTGAATATACTGTATATGCATGTCATGGTAATAATAATTATGTAATAATATCAGAAGTTGCTGAATGTTCTTTAAAAGAAAAACAACAAGCAAACAAAGGTTCACAGATTATACCCTAATACAGATGCATAAAGGATGTAGGATGAGATTTGTGTGTGTGTGTGTATCTATATATCTATATCTATATATCTATATTGATCGATCGATATAAAAAAACTTGTATTCATGGCAGTTTATGGAAAATGAGGATTGCTAACAGATTAGCCCAGTTGTAGGAAATTAAAACAACTTATTTTGATCTGTTTATTCTTCTCGTAAATATGGTCTTTAGGTCAGAGGTCCCCAATCTTTTGGGCACCAGGGACCAGTTCGGTGGAGAGAGGTTTTTCCATGGCCTGGAGGGTGCATGGTTTTGTGTGCTGCCTGCATCTCGCAGACAGGGCTTTGCTTGTTTATGCGGCACGGTTGCTGGCATACCGCGGTCTGGTACTGGTTCACAGACCAGGGGTTGAGGACCCCTGCTTTAGCTGACATATCTTATGCCAGATGAAGGACTTTTTCAATCTACAAAATAATTAAACCACATAATGTAAAATTGTAGATAACTTTAAGAAGAACATGCATAGGGAATACTGCATAGTGAGAACTCACTAGAAATGTTTTATCCTTAAGAAATAGGAAATGTGACTGCAAACATATATATTTACCCAAGAGTAATGGCCACTTAACTCAGTGGGACTTTCTATGTAAACAAGCAAAGGATTGAACTATAATTACATCTGATTCAAGAGAGATTCATTCTGAGGTTGTTATATACAAATTACCTATTGACATCCAGGAATATTATCTCAAACTGTCTATTGTGATATAAATATCATAACATCTTCTGCTATAAAAGAAAGCAATAAAAATTGTCAACTACGATTTTAAATTCAAGATATCAGGATTTGTAATATTGAACAGTAAATAATCACTATTATCATAATGATGTCATCCATTTAACTTGGTAAATATTGCTAGATAGAGGCAATATTTTAGGCACTATTCTGCATCACAGAGAAGACAGAATAATTCCTGTAAATAACCTCTATGTATTTATTTCATCATACAGTACTTCTTTGAATAGTATCTGCATTAGTGCATCAGATAAAAGATATGCTAGGAAATCATTTTAATCCTATTTATCAAAGACTGTAGCATGGTAAGAAAAAAATGAAAAAAAGGAAAATTACAACTATTAGAAAGTTTAATTAAACAATAATTTATGATGCTGTTTTAAAATCTTTGTTAACATTCCCCCATATCAGAGACAAAACTTAGTTCTTGACACTTGTATGAAGAATATTTTTGTAGACTGTATATTAAAATATTTTTATGCAACTGTTATATTTTATTGTAATTTATTCAAAATGAAATATAAGAGTTACAATGGAGTAAATCTATTATAGTTACTAGGAAGATTTGGTGGTTGAGATAGCAAAACACATATTTACGTAACTTAAAAATAATTTCATCACTTTTAAGAAGAAAACCAAAATCCAGAATGATCATTTAATTATATTAATAATTTCTATGTCAGGGCTTTTCAACCTTTTCACCCATTGTACCACTTTTAGGACATGGCAATATCCGAGTACCACCAGTCGCCTAGCAAGGTGTCAAAAACTTGATGACCAAAAAAAAAAAGGAAAAAAGTGATAAAGTACAGGTAGTCCTTGACTTACAACAGTTTGCTTAGTGACTTTCGAAGTTACAATGGCACTGAAAAAAGTGCCCCCCCAAGCCACAGCCGAGCAAGACGCCTGCCCACCCGGCAGCGCTCTTCCTCCTGTCCGAGGTTTCCATAGTTGTGAGCATTTCTGTTGAGGATTGGCAGTGGGGGTGGGGTGGGGGGTGTTTGGTTTTTATTCCCCCCGTCTGCTGGGTAGTTGCAGCAGGTTGTGGTCATCTCATATGACCCTAGGACACTGTGACTGTCATAAATATGAATCAGTTGCCAAGCATCTGAATGTAAATCACAAGACCCTGGAGGGGCTGCAATATTCCAGCTGATCAGCACTTCTTCTGGGCTCAGCAGAAGTGCCAGGATCAGCATTGAGCTCTACCTGGAGCCTGGCGCTGATCCTGGCGCTTCCGTTGAGCCCTGACAGCCGTGCAGCTCCAGCCATCTCTCGCTCAGGCTTGTGCGGTGCTGCCACCGGTTCAGCTCATTCCCCTCCCCTGCTACCACTTTTCTAGGATGGTCGCGTACCATCTGCCAGGTGCCAATGTACCACAGGTGGTACCCGTACCACTGGTTGAAAAGCCCTGTATTATGGTGCACACTGAAGTTCATTTTTAAAGAAGCAAAATGAATACCAATAAAATGTGTTGACCATATTATTTATTCTAAAATTTTGTTTCACTCTGCATTCACTCACTACAGAATGTTTAAGGCTTCTGGCACAAGGATGCTATTACATTATTTATCAAGGATGCCAGTTAAAATATGTCATTATATTGAGATTATATTTCTTTTAAAAAAGCTTTGTAAAATGATACACATCATAATTAAATCAGGTTTATCAGCTTATGTAATTATGGGCTTGTGAATAGAAAAGTGACTTTGTTTAAAAGGATGCAATGGTTTCCTTTTAGTTCATACAAATTAGCATTTTGTTCATCATGTTGCTCATCTCAATTCTCACTATGTATTACATTCACTGCTGTTTTTCTTTTAGTTTAGAAGGTTCTTGGTTCCTGTTACTGATGAGGTTTCAGACTTTCAAATTAACTCTGGAATCATTTATTTTATTTTATTTTTAGTTTTTATTATTTTAGAACAACAAAACAAAACAAAACACATCAAACATTGCACACATACACACGTAATATATCCTTTTTTGTTAACAGCAGTTTGTAACAGTACTCTTCTATTCTTTACATTTCTCCTCTTTCTTTTTTGAAATATTTGTCCTTATTGCCCCATTGTTTCTTATTTATATTTTCCTTCTTTCATATTCAACTACTTACTAGGAATCCAATATTATTCATTGTAGTAACACTCATATTTTTTATAAGACTCGACCGGAATTCTGGAATCATTTATTATCAGGTCTTCATACACTGTGACCTGATTATGCTAAGATTATGTCTGTCTGTCTGTCTGTCTGTCTGTCTGTCTGTCTGTCTGTCTGTCTATCTATCTATCTATCTATCTATCTATCTATCTATCTATCTATCTTGTTAACTCCTACCAGTAGTAAGAAACCTGATAACCAGATACTTTACCTGACTGGATTTCCATGAAAAAATGCATAAGCATAATCAGTGTTACTAAACTAAATGAACATTGTTCAGTTCCTCTTTACCTTAATGCACATATTCTAAAATTATGAAATAGAAGTAACAAAATTAAACCCAAGCTTTGTTCCTAGTTTTTAAGCAGCTTTTCATTTCTTGATTTTAATAAATTGTTCGTCTGAATATGAATAGTTTTAGAAGTTTAATTTTAATAAAGATAAAAATTACTGTAATATTTCATCCTGCACATATGGAATATTGGCACATTTCTTTGTGTTACATTTTATACAGTTTAACAAAATATTTCAATGTATTCATCTATTTCGAGCTAAAAAGCCAACTTTTCTGAAGTCAACCCAACTGAATTATTCTATATAGTTTAGATGCTACACCCTCTAATTTGGAAATTTGAGTGTTCTGAAAAAGCTACTTAAAGCTATGCATATTAATACAATATGCATTAGTATTGTAGTTCCAAATTTAAAGTCAAAACATGTGCAACAAGAATGGAAATAATTGACTGATTTTTAAATCTGTTTTGTATACTGATGATAACTGTAAACATTAAATTGTTACTTGTATCTTTGTAATTTTTTTTCTCCTCTTTCTCTTTATGTCAAGATGATTTTCTTCCCAAATATATTTATTTAACTCCTTTAATAATGTTGGACACTAAGATAAACTTTTACACCTATTAAACAGTATTTGACTACTAGAAAGGAAGGGAGGAAGTATACAATACAATTGCTTGTTCAAACTGGATCCTTTCAGAAGCTTCCCTCTGTTTCCAAATTTAACTACACAAATGAAGTAGTCTTTTTCAAAAGGTCTAGTCAGCAGCTCATTGAAATCAGTGCATTTATACAAGGAAACTGATTCTGTATTCCTTGCGCATCTGACATTTTCATTAACTGGAAGAGCTGATAACTCAAGACTCTCATGAATGCTACATCCATGAATATTAACTTTGTGATTTATGTATGCACAATTTCTAGATAGGCTGTACATTTTACATTTATCCAAATATTTGAGTGCTTTTTAAAAACAAAATTCTTGTAGGTACACTTATGATTCTGCCATTAACCAAAGAACATTTTCTATGATCAAATCGTTGCTGCATTTCTAAAAATGTTTATCTAAGAGTGACTAACAGTAAAATCACTGCGACTTTTGAAGTCATGTATAGAACGCCTGTAAATTAGATTTCCGTTAATCCCATTAAAAACATTTCCCTTCCCAGAGCAATATTTGGATTCTCTTTTTTTCCCCCTTTAACCGCCGAAATCTCAGCATCTCTCTCATACTCACGCACACACACTTTTGTATAAGAAACTCCACAAACTACTGTGACATGCGCTGATTTCAGGGTCTTTGACCTGTCTGGAATTACACACTTTATAGCGGGTGCCCTCTCGTTCTACTCCCGCTCATTGGCTACTTGAAAATGAATATGCAAATAGCCCCCCCCTAGCCTCCCTTTCTTCTCTTTTGGTGTTTCAGCCGCCAGGCGGAAACGAAGAGCCGCGCTTCCCACGGGTGCGGAGGGGAGGGGAAGGGAAAGGGGGGAAGGGCAAAGCAAAGGGGTTGGTGGTTAAGGGAAGCCACTGCTGAGGCTCTGGCCAATGGCGGCGAGGTGGAAAAAGGCCAAGAACGCATCTCAGCCTTAACACCGCCAGCTCTTTCTGCAGAGCCAGACGCGCGGGGGGGGGGGGGAGAGAGACCAGCGAACGCGCGCACCCCAGCCAGCCAGGGGGAGGGGGTGGGGGAAAGGGTTCAGCCTTTCTTGGACCTCGTCCAAGACAGCAACCACAACCCACTCTTCAGTATTGCAATTCAAAGAGGAAGGAAGATTGAAAACGAGGGAGAGCAAGAGGCGGGGTGGGGGGGACGCTCTGTAGACAGACTTTTTACCTTCGCTGGTTTCTCTCAACTCCTTCTCTAGCCAAGGCTTCTGATTACCTAAAAATAATCTGAACCAGTAACTCTTTCGGGTGCACACAAACCTATGTATACGAGCCAAGGTTACCCTTGGAAATCCAAACAAAGCTAAAAACCACACCGGCTCCTTGAGAAATGCATACATTTGTTCACTGAAAAATTTGAAGCCAACGGCCCCGTGTTGTGTTACAGAATTAAGGAGTCCACAGGTTTAAATACAGTACAGTTCAATGGTATGTGGCATTGAAAAAAAGATGTCTTTTTAAACTTGCTTGTTGGCTGTCTCCTGTCTCGGGTAGATCGTCTTGGATTTACAAAGTGAAGGCTGTTTACACACTCCCTCCCCCCCCCCAATCCCCAGTCATTTTCTGATTTTGCAGGATTTAAGAAATGGATTTGTTTATGTTCTTGTCTACAGGTCACACAGTCATGCCAGGAAACAGTTAATTGAAGCTTGTGTCCAAAAGTGCTGAACTTGGTATATTTCCTGCTTCCAACTTTCTCTCCTCCTGTTTGCTGGCAAATGCCCGTTAAGCATTGAAAAAGATTAATATAACATGTTGGTTGATTAATTTGTAGCTATGTAGTTAGGGTTGCTTTCTCTTCTTAACAGCTGTCATAGATACACCCTAGTTCCTTCTGCTAAGCTGTATGGGAGGGGAGTGTTGCTGTAGTAACATGGCTATTACTCTTTACATGCTAGTTAACTTATATGAGTAGTTTACTATCCTACACTACGGACTAGTTTCTTTTGTACTTCAGAATTGCTAAGCATTCTCTCCTTGGGTATGCTTTTTGTGGCTTGCTTATGTTTTCCTCTGTCAAGTGGCTGTGTAGGTCTTACTGTCTTGCATGTTTTCAGACCTATTCCCTGAGTTGGTGTCTGCTCTCACCACTTGTCCTCGCTTTGCCTGTGTCTGGGCCATATTTTAATGCACAATATCCCATCTATTGTGGTTGAATGTGGAGTGTGTGAGGATTTGGCTGCTCTCCGGTTGAAGGGGGCGGGGAAGCCCGTTCGACTTTGACACAAGATGCCGATGTGGCGTGATCTGAATTATTATTAGGGCTGTGAACATGGCTATCTTTCTTGCTGCTGCTGGAAAGGGCTGCCACTGAACTTGAGAAGGGACAAACAACATCTCCAAGTCCCCTTCGCTCCCAGTACAGTAGCTGGCAGAGAAAAGGCGCCAAAATACACAAGATTAACTTCCCTTTAAATGATGCCGAGGCTCTACTCATGTAATCCTAATGAATATTCACAGGAATAAAATTAAAACGTTGAAATACATTTAGTGCCTATTTAAATATACATTAATAAGTCAAGAAAAAGTTTTAAACTTTCCACCTTAAGTAATTTAG